CCCCCCAGCCCCGTCCCGCTGCCCGCCCTGCCGCCGGGCACTGCTCCTGCTTGGGCATCGCTTCATTCCGGGCTTTCTCTCCCTGGGACTTTGTGGAGGGAACTTGGGATTTGGTCCCCAAATGTGGCACAGTGCAAGGCCGTACGTGGCCCCGCGTTGTCGAGCGGTTGGAGCAGCTCCAGTTTAATGTCCTGTCCGCTTCCGCTCGCTTAGCCTTGACTAGCAGCCACCCCTGGCAAGGGCGGGATCTGGCTAGGACAACCTCGTCGGATCATCCAACATAAACAGCTGGGCAGGTGGGAATGGATGTGGAGAGCCTGGGGTTGAGAAACAGGATTACAGGGACCCAGGGCTGCTGGGACTCTTGTTCCAGAGAGCTCTTCCCAGCCGTTCCATGCATGCGTCTGCGGTGACGCCTGTCGCACGCAGAGGGGCTGCTGGGGACTGTTCTCACCTCTGCAGCAGGGTCCCCAGCGCATGGGACCCGCGGTGGCCGAGTGCGCCGCGAGCCAGGCCACTGTGCTGCAGCAGCAGCTACCCAAACGCTGGAAAACTCGAGCAAAGAGTTTTGATTTGGTTGTCCTTGATCAGCCGGGAGGTTTCAGAAGGGCCTCAGCTACTGGTGAATGAAGGTGCAAAGTCCAAGCGTGCAGGTTTGGCTGGACCCAGGCTCCAGCAGGAGACCAGCTCTGCAGGAGACCCTGGCACGTTGGGCTGTGCCCATGGCAGGGATAAACTGTGGGGATTTTGCTGGTGTCAGAAGAGCTCTGATAAACCCCCGCTGCCGGCCTGTCCCAAGTGCCTGCCCCACCTGGGCCCTCTCTGGCAGCTGCTGTCACCGGCTGCTTCCCAGGAGGATGCCAAAACCCACTGCCCGGAGGCCAGGCCGGCCGGTACCACCCGTGGGACCAGGCGCTCTGGGGAGCGTCGTCCTGTGCTGCTGTCGGGCACGGGTGAGAGTCTCTCCTTTAGCTCTGAGCCTGATCGAGTCTGCAGGCTAAATAAACCCAAGGTGCCTCAGCCGTGGTTCAAAATGCAGGAGCTTTGAGACCATTGAGTCATGTGTGTTCAAGGTCCCAAACCCTGTGGGCGCGCGGGCGCTTTGCAGCTGGTGTTAATGATAATCCCAAGCACAGGGGTGGGTTTGGGCGCCAGAGCTGGTTGGTGCTGGGAGGAGCGCTCGAGGCCCTTGAGAAGCTTCCCGTGCCTTGGAGGGGGGTGTCTGGGGTGCTCAAAAACCAGACCCATGTTTTTAGAAAATGAAAATAGCGCTGGCGCTCGGGAGGTCAGTTCTGAGCGGCTCCTGATCCGGAGCGATCTCCAGGGAAGCAGTTTCACAGCCGCCCTGGGAGGTGCCTTGGGGTAACTGCAGCTCCCGGCTCCTGCCCTCGAGGCTGGGGCAGCCGGGGCTGCGACGGGACCTGGGGCTGCGACGGGACCCGCCATCTC